CATACCCTGGGCTTATATGTATGTGAAAATTGATTCTTATGGAGTAAACTCCAAAAACATACGGTTGAATTCAGTACCTCCTCCTTTTTTAAGTCAGTAGAAAACACAACTACTATACTACATAATATTATTATACACATATTATACTTTAATAATAGCGACCCGCCCTGGCGTCACCTGAATAGGATCTATCAATGTGGCGTTACCGCACAAATTCCCTGTAGAATCGATTACCACCAGCGATTTTTCCGGACCGATACGACTTAAGTACCTTCAAGGAAATAGCTTACTCCTTTTTAAAAGTCCGGCAAGGCATCTGCAATTCCCCTGGTTCCCTTGGTGTTACAGTTGTTCATGAGCGGCTGTAGTCAGTCACTTACCATCAGGTGAGCCGCATGCGCGTTTGCCCCCTCTCCTATAAAAAAAATCAAAGACCACTTATTTTATTAATTTTTCATTGTTACAAAAAAAAACAACCTATTTTTTATGATAAAATATAGCCCAGATCACTCCTGGCTTGTTTTCTATATGTTCGTGAAGTTTCATTACAATCGGTTCAGCCATTCCAAATATTAGCCCGGACAGACAGAAATACAGACAGACTCACAAATAAAAAAAAGTTGAAATCTAAATAGAAGCCAGTTATTTCGATATTACAGAGAGACACTTCAATTTTATTTATATATATTTACATTTATAAAATCATTTGACTTTTCCCGCCAATTTGCCACGCTCTCGTTGCATAGGGTTGCGCTGATTATCGACAGAAAAGTTTACAAAGGTCAAAGTAAACATGTGCCGTTGCGAACGCCCCTCTTTTCGATTTGATTATCCGCACCTACCACAGGTGGTCGACGTGGAAAAAATCGATTATAGTACTGTTAACTCGACACCTTTTGGGATTTTAAATATTTTGGAGAAAATCTGTCTGAATTTTTAAGCTTTTCAATGTGTTAGTCAGTAAATTAAAATATTTAGAATGTTTAAAACTTAATGTCTTTATTTTCACATACTTAATCTTATCTAAGTTAAAAGAAAAAATTTTTAGAAGTAAAGTGTGAAAATAAGTTCACAGTCTATATGATGGTACGTGGCTGTTGTAGCCCATAGACACCCACCCATATCCATCACCGATAAATAATTAAAAGGACGCTTTGACATCTCTAAAGAATAAGATAGAATGCTTCCTTGGCCATTTTCGCATCGCATCAGTAGACAAATTGTTGTTGCAATTGCAGTAGACAGATCTAGAATAGACTTTGGAACCCTGGTCAATTGCTTCTTCAAAACCTTAGCTGTGATGTATTGAAGATCTGTAAGTCTTGCCGTATGCATTTGCTACTAAGCTGGCGTATCAGTTTAAAACTCATTTCTTGTCTAGCAGCCATTAGCTTATGTGTGTGAATGAAGATATTTTGTCATTTTTGTTATCTTCTAGGCACTCGAAACTATTTTATAGTTCGAACCGAAGACCATCGGAAGTATGAATAAGCTCAAACCCACTTAGACAACTATGCTCAGAGTTTCCCTGCGTGATAAAATCCGTTATAAAGATATTCGCAGAACAACAGGCGTAGTTGACAAATATGAGTCAATCTATAAGGAAGGCCTATGTTCAGCAGTGGGCTTTTGTAAGACTAAAGTTGATAATGATAATGATGATGATATTATTGAACCACAAGGCGAAGGCCACACGCTTTTCTTAACATAGACCTAATTTTTCTTTTGCATGATGCAGTGATATGGCCATTTTACGCCACCCTCCAATGGATAATTTTAAATATTATAATAAAAACATTAAATCATATCCCTATCTTTCTTCTCTTTCATAAATTTTAATTATTATGTTTTGTAAAAGCAACTAAAATGCGTTAAAAACCTAGCTTGCATGAGCATGAACATCCCCCGTGACTGTTGTATTATGTCCGGGCACACAAGGACCGGTGACTATGTCATTACGTACTGTCCTATCAGTGTATAACATCGGGTGACGTGGCCACGCCAGATAAACAGCGACCCGCGCACGCACACATCGACACCATGATTGTAAAGGTTGAGACACATCAAGCGCGTATTGGCGCAATCTTCAGTATATTAACAGAACTTGGCATCTGAACCTAACTGAGTTTGAGTTAGTCTGAATGAGTATTTATAAGTGGTTACCTTAATTTAAAATTTAAAGCTACAGCCTAAATACAACACTTTGCTGAGCACAGGTCTCTTCTCTTTTCGACGCCTTCCTAGGGAAATCCGTCGGGGTAGGCAACTTCTCTCTTGGCTATTTCTGCCGCTAAATTACAGTGCTTGTTGTATTTCGGCCTGTAAGGGTATAGAGAGTCAGTATAATTGCAGGCCGTGAGGCCTTTCATCTTAATATTCAAAGCTGACAACGTAGTCTACTTTGTTTGCCATGCCATGTAGGCCATGGGTGGACTGTAAGTCGTTTGTTTGTTGTTAAATGTTACCGTCTACTGTTCGATATGTGCCTCTCCCATGCGTGAAAATATGCCAAAGCCTTCTAAATTGATTCGGTACAATAGCCAAACTTGGAAAACGGATTACAAATCGCAATACCTATCATAACAAGTTTACTCCTGCTATAGCTCACCACGCTCCGGGTTGACTAGCAAAGAAAACCGACAGTCATTAAGTTAGACTATTCTTACCTTAGTTATAAAGTGTAATAATAATCATTTTTTTATTAACAATAATCGTTTTTTATAGGACAGGGGGCAAAAGAGCATGCGGCTCACCTGCTGGTAAGTGACTACCGCCGCCCATGAACAATTGCTACACCAGGGGAATTGCAGATGCGTTGCGGTTCTTTTAAAAAGGAGTAGGCTCTTTTCTTGAAGTCCCCTAAGTCGTATCGGTCCGGAATTCATCATCATCATTATTAAATAAATACCAACATTAATCATTACTAAAAAATACCATCAGTAATAAATAAATACCAAACCTCTCGAATCTTAGATCCGGCCGGGTAAACTATTGCTTTATTTGGTATAGGATCCATGCATGTATTGGTGACAAGCGAATACACAGCTGCATTAAGCTATTTTACGCTAGTATTCTGTGAGAGCGTGGTCCTTCCCCGGTCGAGCCGACCTATTTGTGCTACAACTATACAATAATTAATGTAGCTGTAGCATGGCTCTACCACGTAAAAAAATATGTATTTTCAAAGGTCGCTCTCCTTGACTCCTATGGGATGAAATGGAGAAAGGATTCGCCTTACGCCGCCCGCATAAAGCGAGTAATTAAATCAGGAATTAATAATTTAAGGAAGTAAAAATCTTTATTAGAAATCAGGTCGCATGTGTATCCGGAGAATGTGCTTTCACATCGGTGATCTCAGTCTACACCAAGCTCATTTAGGTCACCTGGATTTTCACACGTGTATGTCTGTGTGGTGTTGATGCGGCGCGTCGCCATGGCAACCGGCCCGCTCGCTTCCCAGAAGAGGCCGTATACAAGCAATTACGCTAACTTCTGCCTAGTACTGTTGAAGTTATTACTAAATTCAGTTTTTCTAAAACAAAATTTGAATATATTATGCATGTACTCAATAAGTATATGGGCAGACTTATTTTTAAATTATTTTTTTTAATCTTAACATTACTAACTTTTACGAAGTTTACACGCTTGTGCCTGATGCTTCTTTTTTTTATAGAAGAAAAGAGTAACAAACGAAGTAAGCGAACACGTTATCCATCTGATGGTAAGTGCATGCCACTGCCTCATAAACGCCTACGTCTATTCTCTATCAAAAATCAAAATCAGATGCATTGTCACCCCTGAGGAGGTGAATGATCACCTAAATAAAATGTATACCGCGTAGCATACATACAAAAAACGTACAGTCGAATAGAGAACATCCTCCTTTTAAAGTCAGCTAAGAAAAGCAAAAAGTTCTAAATGCTCCTCTTTAGGATTCAGGTACATCCCCTCACGTGTCATGACACCTGCAGGGGGCAGACATATATGCATGCCCATGTGTCAGCCCACCCCGTGTGCCCATTTGGCAATTAAGGCCGTAACGTTACGTATTCAATCGTTTTCGAATTGAAAATATTCGATTGTTTTAACCAATTTTTGTTTTGCCGCGTAAAAGGAGGCAGATACTAAAAGTTTATGGTGTAAAAAGAATGTATTGAATGGGTGTGATATTTTTTAATATCTTTTGATACAATGTTGTTTTTTTTTTATACGATAAGGGTGACAAACGAGCACACAGTCCACCTGATGGTAAGTGGTTGCTGCGGCCCATAGACATCTACATCTATCCTCTATTACAAATCAAAATGTAGATGCGTTGTCACCCGTGATGACTAAGATGGAATGCCTCATTTCCAGTAAAAAGGGCCTCCGGCCATCTGCACTCACCAAGCGAAACGCAGAGGTAAACCTCTACTTCACGCTGGTTTTCTGTGAGGTCGTGGTACCACCCCGGTTCGAGCCGTCCCATCCGTGCGACAGCAAAAGCTGCCACGTGGCTCTACCACTGTTGTATTGTTATAAATAAAACAAATACCTTTTTATATAATTTGGCTTAATTTCATAATCCTTACATTTCATGTACAATAAATCGGCAAAATTACGTCGATACAAATATATACCGAGATTGATAATATTATAAAAATAGAATTTAATATTTATAAAAGTAGAATCAAACATCTTAATTCATAATGAATCGATGCGTATAAGTTTTATACATATCTGGCCACTACCACCCGCTCTCATCCCGTGGATGTCGTACGCCGACAGAGTGAAATTCCACAAAAAGAAGGAGAAATTTAGGCTTCTTACGAATGGCGGCAGTCCTCGTCAGACCAAAAATGCCCAGGCCTGTGATGGGCAGCAGCATTACAGTGAAAGGTTATTATCGAATAAAAGTACAACATTTAAAATTTACAAATTCTTTATTAAATCATATGATGTCTTTAAGCTTGTTGAAGTTGGAAGCATTATTTGTTATTATTAATTGTACAAAACCGTGCTTAAGAACAACTTCCCTGGCTGCCATTGTTATACTTGTTTGTGACTGAGGCTCGGTCCCCAATAACTTTGACGGGAATTGGTAGAGGCGCTTGCACTGTCAAGACTCCGTCTCGTGAGAGAAATGAGGCTATGACGTCTGGATCAAGACCCTTTGGAAGTTGCACCTCCCTAGCGTATTCTCTAAAGATAGTGCAGTCTGGCGTTCTCTCTTCATGTGATGCTTGTACTAAGAGGATGTCATTCATTATGGAAACCTTTACCTGTTGAAGGGATTTTTTTTATTTAACTAAGCTACAATACGGTGCTTAACAAATGATGTAAGAATTCCATATAGCCGTGCAGTGGCGGTGAGCGAATTATCTAACATCGCGTGGGTTTCGTAAGAGGCGACAGAGCGAAATGAAGCAGAGTAAGGTAAGGGCAGCAGGATTTATAAGTAGCGGCACGAAAGTCTAGTGGTGACCTTTATTGCGCATAACTCGCGCTAATTGGCTTATTGCGCATAGTTTGCGCTGATTGGCTCGTGCGTATCGTCCAAACGCGCTGATTGGCTCTGTAGACGCATTCGTGCAATTCAATTCGTTCCTCTCCACGTTTCGTTTAGCGCTAGACTTACGTGCCGTAACTTGGACCTGATAACAAGTCAAAATAATAAAAAAACTGCGATTATCAACTTGCCTATGAGAAGATCTATGGGGAATGCGTATTTTCAGTAGCGGACTTAAATTAATGAACTGTATTTAATTAAAAGGCTAATTAATAATAAGAATTTTTCCGCGATTTCGTTCACAAATAAATGTTCTTATTTATTCACGGACTTACTAACCATTAAGTGGACTGTAAGGTCATTTGTCATTTACAAATTATAAAAAGATTAAGAATATAAAATTTAAAAATCTCTTTGCCCAAGATCCTGATCCTGGTTGTGGTAGGAGTTCATAAGTGATGATTATGTTGTTCAATTTTGTTGTTCAAATGTTTTTGTTCAAAATTTTAATTGTTCAAATAAATTGAAATTGAAAGTGGACGAAGCGAAACAAGTATGTAAGGATCGTGGTAAGTGGAAAGAAGTGGTCTCTGCCTACCCCTACGGGAAAGAGGCGTGAAGGTATGTATGTAATTAAATAAAAAAATATGTAATATAAACATATAAAAATATATATAAACATATAGTTCAACTAAGAACTGATCACTGATGCGTTTCGATTTACGGTAGAATGCAACCGAAGTTCTAAACAAATGTCGATAATAAAAATAATTGTACATTTTGACGCATGATTTACTTAGACTATACGTAGTAGAGCCACGCTGCAGATATAGCTGTTGTAGCACGAATGGGTCGGGTCAACCAGAGAAGGACGACACTTTCACAGAATACCAGCGTAATATAGCAGCTCAATGCTGCTGTTTCGTGTGGTGAAAACCGGAGACCCTTTTTACTGGAAACGAGGCATTCCATATTAGTCCTCACGGGTAATAACATATAATATGCAATTCGGTTCTTAATCGAGAAAATATGTAGTTGTCTATGGGCCACAGCATCCACCATCAGTGGGACTGTGTGCTCGTTTCTTACCCTTATTCTATTTAAAAAAATATTTACAAACCTCTGTAGGCTCAAATTGACTGAGATCGAATTGTAATTTAAGACTTTTATTATCACCCTCACCCTCTACCAGAGGGGAGTTGGTAATCATTTCCCATTGGCTGGCCGGGTCCGTTCTGATAGACATAGAGTCAGCCCTTAGGCTACAGTGTTCCGATGGAGTTAAATCGTAGAGGTTCATGAGATTTGTGCTGCAATAATAAAAGTAAAGGTTTTGGGAAAACTTTAATTACACAATTACTTAAATTAATAAATGTACTATATATCTTTACTAGTTGACCAAGCAGACGTTGATCTGCCCTTTCCGACGATCAGTTGCTTTCCTAAAAAAAACTCCTGAAATTAGCAATAAAAAAATTGAGGGTCACTTGTCGGGATAAAAACTATCCTGTCTCTCAAGTTGGACCAAACTGCACACAGCGTGCAAAATGTCATAGCAAATCAATTCAGTAGCTTAGGAGTTCTATATATATATAACAATTACGTGTCACATTGTTTGTCATATATAATTGTATATATATTATATCATTATTCTGTACGTGTGTTTGTCTCTGAACTCCTAAACGGCTGGAGAGATTCAAATGAAATTTTTTGTGTTTGTTGGTTTAGATTCACAATTGGACCCGGTAGATGGCGCTGTTGTTGAGAGATCCAGAAATCATCCGTGCTAAGTCGGGGCGGATCGTTAGTATTTTTATAAAATTGAAGTGAGAAATGAATTTATAGTTCACCTGGTATTGGCTACTGCAGCCAATAGAAATCTTCAACCAACTTTAAACAAAGAACGTTACAAATGCACTGTCACCCCTGAGGTATAAGATAGAATGCCTCATAGCCTGTAATTATACAACTGCCTTCCAAATTGAAACATAGTTGTACATGTTTAAAATACGTCCTAATATTATGGTACGTAAGGGTAATATGGTCAACTTTTTTTTTTATAGGATAGGGTGACAAATGAGCACACAGTCCACCTGATGGTAAGTGGTTACTGTGACCCATAGACATCTACATCTATCCTCAATAAAGACTCAAGATGCAGATGCGTTGTCGCCTGTGAGGACTAAGATGGAATGTCTCTTTGCCAGTAAAAAGGGTCTCCGGTTCTCTACACTCACCATACGAAACACAGCAGCGTTAAGCTGCTATTTCACGCTGGTTTTCTGTGAGAGCGTGGTCCTTCTCCGGTCGAGCCGACCCATTCGTGCTACAACTATACTACTAATATAGCTGCAGCATTTCTCTACCACGTAAAAAGCTTAAGCTATATCGCTCTATAAAACCAAAACTAGGAGGTGGACAGAGACAAAAACACAAAGTCGTATATTATAACTAATATCTTAAGAAAAAAAATAGTAAACAAGCCTTGGTAATAAATAGGAACACTTCGAAAAATCAACTTAAAAAAAACTAACTACACTACACAATACTAAAATCGACTAAAATATTTACTATAATATCAACTATCAATATGGCGTCGATGAAGTAGCGCGCTTTTTGACCCTTTATTATTTGAATGACTAATGAAGAGCTATCGTACCACAGAGCCTTCTACGCAAACGAGGCTGTAGTTTTTGAGTTACAAGAAAGTGACCATATTAACCGGATGACCATATTACCCTCACGTACTATAATAGGTTTGTTGTCACCATCTCATCATTACAACTGATGTTTTTATTAAGAAAACAATAGTATCTTATATTTTTTTTATAGAATAAGGGTGACAAACTATCACACAATCCGCCTGATGGTAAGTGGATGCTGTGGCCCCTAGAAATCTACATTTATCCTCAATTAATAATCAAAATTCAGATGCGTTGTCACCCCTGAGGACTGAGATGAGAATGCCTCGTTTCCAGTAAAAAGGGTCTCCGGTTCTCTACACTTACCATACGAAACACAGCAGTGTTAAGCTGCTATTTTACGCTGGTATTCTGTGAGAGCGTGGTCCTTCCCCGGTCGAGCCGACCCATTCGTGCTGCAACCATAATATAGCTGCAGCATGGCTCTACTCCGTAAAAATTGTATATTACTAAATTATATTACTTATATTTATTTTAATTAACATTTTTATAATAACAAAATTTTTTATTTCATTGTTCATAGAGTTCATTGTGATAATGCAGTATTGTCCTCTTCGCTAAGGGTAGATATATAATTACGACGCTCACCTTATATCACATCAACTCATCATCATGATTAGGGGAGAAGTGGCATGAAGGAGCCAGGTTTTGAAAGAGCCACTTGCATTATTTTGCTAGTTTATGAACGGATTTGATTGGTAATTTTATTTTTAAGTGGCTACATTGATTCCCCGTCACCCACAAACATTTGACAGTCCGCCGAAACCAGCGGACGCCGGTACTTCGAGTCAAAGTTTTTGGTACTAAAAAGTAAGGAGTTTGCTTCATTTAATTTGTTTTTTGGTATTTTATTATAAAAAGATATCGGTAAATGGATTGTAGATTGAGTTTGTGCATATACTTGGCCTTGCAGCTGCGTAAAAACTGAGCCGCAAAAGTTTTGATATTGTTGTTATTTTTAATGTTATATTTTTTTAAAGAATAAGTTATGAAAGAGCCGGGTAAATGGGCCTTAAAAGAGCTGGCTCTTTCATAACCAGCTCTTTCATAACCCTGCATTTAAATATTGTAAATAAAATTAAAATAATAATAAATATGCATTTTTTCATATATTATTAAATTATTTGCTTCAGATATTGCATTATAGGGAAGCCTGGTCCAAAAAAAAAACGAAAATTGACCAGAAAAATCGGTAATTGAAGAAGCAGTTAGTGAAGTTTTGGAGATACATCAACCAATAAACAAAACTGCACGCGTCTTTAATATATTGAGGGCACACTTAGCTAAAATAGTTAAAAAAAATAAAGGCTTCTAGTGAATCAGCTTTTAAACACTGTCCTAATATAGGAAATAAGCGTATTTTCACAACAGACAAAGAAAATATGTTTGCGGATTATTTAAAGACTGCTTCTAAAATGTGCTATGGCCTAACAAGGTAACAAACTAAGAAGCTGGCATTTGATTATGCCATGGCTAATTATATCACTCCAGATAAATGGAGGGAAATCATTGCAGCAAATCATGTGAAAACAGTAATCAAGAGTGGTTTTAGTGCAAAATTTATTCTGATTGGAATCATGAATCCTGCGGCATTAAGGGAAAATGTAATTTCTTTTGAAAGACATATTTCCAAATTTAAACAAATTACATTATATATTCCAAAGTTCCTAAAAAGTCTGAATCTTAAACTTAAGCAAATAGATAGTAAAGACTTTGAAGCTCAAAGTGAGCAATATTTTTTTTAAAGTTCTTAAAGATTTAACTATGTTGTTTTCATAGATGTTTGTAATTTTGTTTAAATTTTAAGATTGTTATTAATAAAAAATAATACGCCTCTAATATGTTAAGATTATATATATATATATATATATATATATATTGAAGGTATGACTGAATAATATGTTAAGATTTAAGCGTTGTTAGAATCACTTAAAATGACTGATAGAATTAAAAATTTCTTCAAAATGTCACTAGTTTTTAAAAAGGATTTGTTGTTTTTATTTTTCTATAGTGGGACTACTATTATTTTGCTTAATTTTCACAATTACACTTTATAATACAGACTGACTCTTTCATAACTTTTAGTAGCTCTTTCAATACCGAAATGTTATGAAAGAGCCAAAAGACACATTTTATTTAAATGAATATTTTGTTGATTTTTTCATAGCGTTTAAGGTTTTTTCGTATGCAATTACCTACTTTAATAAATAAATAATAATTAAAGAAAAAAATATCTTCATTTCTTTCACTAAAAGTATGTTTATTTGCTCCATTTAGTAAACTGGCTCTTTCATGCCACTTCTCCCCTACAACTTAAAAGTCCACTGCTGACCAGGCCTCCACCACAGATTGCCTCATAGGAAAAATATTTGCCATAGTTGCCACGCCAAAATAAAAAATAAACCCATGTGGGTTGGCAAACGTAGTTTTTATTTTTTATTTTGAGCTTTAATCAGGAAGATGCTAACATCCGTCTCCTGTTTTAGTTTCAATCTGTAGCCTGTTACGACACCCTCGGGATAATATGGGGTAATGGATTCCTTTACGCTACCACTATATAGCGCTTGTATACATGACTCTGCTATTTGAAGAAAAATGCATTATAATAAACGGTTTCTTACAATTTAAAATTAAAAATTTTGTACAACTGACTTCAATATAAATGATCAAGAATAACTCAAAAACTATTGGTAGACCAATAAATTTTGAGTTAATTTGAATTTTTGAGTCAAGGTTTGAGCCTTGATCAAATTTATATGATACCGCATGAGAAACACCAGCTTACAAACAAAAAAGAATCATCGAAATCGGTTCACTCAGAAAAAAAGTTATTGGGTAACAAACATAAAAAATAAACGTCTCGTGAAGTCGGTAGAAAATCAAAGTACTACCCTAATACTTCTATGAGTACTACTATGAACTCTAAACCTAATTAAAATTTTTTTGGTCATTTATAATTTTCAATTAATCTACCTAAATCTAGTAATCTCTTGATCCATCCTCTGCATCTCGTTAATAAACCGTTGCTTCAAGGCAAGGAAGTCATTATCAAACATTGCTTGACTAGTTGTAGTTACTGGGATATGTCTTTGCGAAACGGAATCACACATTTTAATTTTTTTTTTAGAACCAAGTCTTATGTTTTTGTTTGAGTTCCCAATGTTATAAGGCTAGCTTTAAAAAATTTGGATTCAAATAATTACAATAATTTTTATAACATGTTTAAGGGAAAAAATTTGACAATGTTTTGACAAGATTTACGAAGAAAAGAATTGTCAGTCTCTATAAATAATCATTATTAATCTATGACTGTCAGCATAAATGTAGTGAAGAATAGATAGATAAGAAATGCTTCAATAATATTGCATGCCTTAAGCGAAAGCTCAAGGTATTGCATGCCTTAAGCGAAAGCGCAAGGCATGTTCTACTATCGCCTAAAAATTAAGATTCCAACTTTTTATCGAATAAAATTATATCTAGCAATCATATTATACATATAAATGATATAAAAAGCACATTGCTAGAAAGATAAATGATTGTTGAACTTATTAATATTTTTTTAAATCGATCAATTGCTATTTTTAAATAAAAACGGGATTTTAGTGGCTTATGGTGTGGATTTATTATGTCCCCAAGGCTTGTAAACACGATAACTTTTGAAAATATCAATTGTTTAACTCAATCTATTTTTTAATCTCTTCATCTATCATGTGGGAAGCCACTGAATGTAAATGGCAGTGTAATTTTGTTTTGTTTAGCTATAATTAATTTTTTTCGGTTCCAAAATGGCGAAATTTTCGTTGATTTGGTAGCCTTGTATGTAAATTATTTCTGTAAATAGGGAACTACAGCCACAAAGTACTTTACTCACTCACTCGGTTCGGCGTCAGTCACCGTCGTGAGTGGACATTGTTTCGGTTCTTTGCAGCGGCTCAAAAAGATCTCTGTACAAATACACAATATTCGAATAACCACATTTTTTAAATACTTGATTATAATAATAATAAGAGATTTTTTTATTACAATATTTTAAAAGCAGAGAATAAATAATAGTAGTACGTACTAAAAGTAAGTAGTATAAATTTTTTGTCATGGGTGACATTTTCATGGTTTTCGAGGGTGTTGAAGCCGATAGTGCTGTCGAAATGTGAATCCAAGGTGGCGGCTGCAATAGGTATAAAATTTTTCATCATGAGTGTCATTTTCATGGTTTTCGAGGGTGCTGAAGCCGATAGTGCTGTCGAAATGTGAATCCAAGGTGGCGGCTGCAATAGGTATAAATTTTTTCACCATGAGTGTCATTTTCATGGTTTTCGAGGGTGTTAAAGCCGATAGTGCTGTCGAAATGTAAATCCAAGATGGCGGCTGCAATAGGTATCAATTTTTTCATCATGGGTGTCATTTTCATGGTTTTCGAGGGTGTTGAAGCCGATAGTGCTGTCGAAATGTAAATCCAAGATGGCGGCTGCAATAGGTATCAATTTTTTCATAATGGGTGTCATTTTCATGGTTTTCGAGGGTGTTGAAGCCGATAGTGCTGTCGAAATGTAAATCCAAGATGGCGGCTGCAATAGGTATCAATTTTTTCATCATGGGTGTCATTTTCATGGTTTTCGAGGGTGTTGAAGCCGATAGTGCTGTCAAAATGTATTTAAACTACTTTAAAAAATTCCGTATAATCATGTTATACGTAATTTTTTAATGCTTAAGGCATGCCCAATTGGATTTACCAATTTATTTTATTTTATAGACGAGAGGTCGAACAAGCATGCGGCTAACATGATGAACATAAGAAGGAATAAATATGGTATATACTGTAGGCCTTTTAAAAGGAGTTGGTATGAAATCATAGTGATTACAACCCGCTTGCGAAGCATGGCACCTAAGATAAATATCACCCTTATGAGGCAATCTATGGGAGAAGCCTATAATGATGAGGACGAATGGTTAATTGCAATTTCAAGTGCTGATTTACCACGTGCTCGGTGGTGGAGGAAAACATCGTGAGAAAACCTGCATGTTTCAGAAATAAGAAAAAAAAAATTCGATGACATGTGAAGTTCGTCAATTGGGGCAGCGCGGCGGACAATTCCTTGCCCTAAACCCTGTTAGAAATGAAGGAAGGCTAGTGCCCAGCAGTGGGACGTATATAGACTGTACCTTTAGACTTCAACCTTTCTTAACACAAAAGGAGCCATAGATACCATCTCGCGAATGCGTTGCGATGATGATATACATCTTTTACTATGGTGATGATGACCCGTTACAATCGATTGCCGGATATAATATTCACTATAGGTGAAAATTTTCTGTAGTCATAAAAAATAAATATATGTATAAATATGTAAAAATAATACATGTACAATAAGTACACCATTTTAAGCAAATCTCTAATTTATTCAAACTTCGAGCAAAATGTCAGTCCGTGAATCATACTCAGTGGGGTATTACTGGAATTACGGGAAATTAATGATGGAGAAGAAAGGATCTCAAGAGGCATCCTCACAACGTTAATGCATTGTACAGCATCAGTAGCCAGTAGACATGTAGTATACGGACCGCGAAACTTAAAAGTCGCGGGTTTGAATCCGCCATTTTGCTACTACGAGTACTAAGTACAAAATATATTGGCGATAATAGAAGATGGTGGACTTTGAGGAGAAATCCCTCCTTACTGCACCTGAAACTCCAAGTTCTACAAGCGGTACGTAGACGATACTTTCACAATTTTACCATCAGACAAAGTAACTGCATTTTTAGAACATCTTAATTCAATAACTAATCAAACTAATCAAATAACTCCTTAGCCTACCTTGATGTGTTTGTCATCCGAAATCAAAGGAAGAAGACCAATACAAACCGGTATTTAAAGGGTGAATCCCACCATTACCCCTTCATAGTTAGCTACCATGTGCAAATCTTTGTTATAAAGAGCACGAGGGATCTGTGACAGCAAACACCTGGCCGCCGAGCTTCAGCACGTCAAGCAAGTTTTGCACGACAGCAAGCTTCGGGTCCTGGGCCTACGTCACGGTAATCGAGTAAAGGAGGCCACAGTCGAGCGTGTGCCTGCTGTACTACCATATGTCAGAGGAGTCACATGCAAGATTGGCCTACATCTTGAAGCGAGCTTCTATTAGAACAGCCGCCGAAGAAGCTTAGCCAGTTCTTACCATCCGTCAAATGTAACATCCCTCTACAAGATGCAGAGTGCAAAATAAAAACCCGCGTTAAAGAAAATATTATAGCTAACGTGAAACACCAATGCTCCGGAAAGTTTGCAGTTTGCGATCATATCCTAGACGGAACCGTAGTAGCTCAGGGATTAAGCGCCCGCTGTAAATTTCACAGTACGCGAGCAACCCGCGTTCGATACACGCCGGCACCAATCAAATTGTTAATTGCCATTTTAGGTGATGATTTACCACGTGCTTGGTGGTGAAGGAAAAAAACCGTGAGCAAAAACGCATTCCTGAGAAATAAGAATAAAAAATATTCATGTGAAGTTCGCCAACACGCTTTGAGGCAGCACGGCGAACATTTCCTTGGCCTAAAACCCTCTCACAAATTAGTGAGGCCTATGCCCAGCAGTGAGACGTATATAGGCTGTAACTAAGTAATTAACTACCTAGTTAACTAACTAACCTAGACGGCCCCTACCATTACATTTGATAGACCACAAATCATCGCGAAAGAACATCGATTCCTACCAAGGATGATGCGTGAGGCTTTTAAAATAAAATAAAACATCCTGATTTCAATAGAGAAGGAGGCTGGATACTGCCACCTACTTAGGATCCTGTAAGTGTAGATCGGACGAAAAGTAATTATTAAAAAGCTGAAGGTACTTCGGGTTAACTCTGACATCGGGACGTGAGTCACCTCAGTCCCCTGTGACACTTGGGTGCTGCAAAGCACCCGAAACATTAAGAATTAAAAATAAGTAGTATTAAATGCGATAAAATCCGTAAAATAGTTTTATTCAATGTGTAGTGTTCGCGAAAATATAAGAAATCAATATGCTCACGGATTTTATTTTAAAAACAAATTTACCGTTATGGCTAACCAAAAAATCAATGCTGTACATATGCCTCTCCCATAGATTGCCTCATAGATGGAGATACCATAGTTTTTTATTTTAAAGTTATTAGATAGACGCTGCTGGCCATCTCCTAGTTTGTTTCCCTCTGTCGTCTGTTACGACACTCACAGGTCGGCATGGTGTAGTGGATATTCTGACACCGCCACTACACGGTAACACGGTACAAAAATTGTGCGTGTAATTGTGTACACACGTACGAAGTGAAACTTGACACGTTCGAAGAAGTATGATAAGTCGTAAATATCATTATTTTTTATATCATATTTTACATTTTTTATAGGATAAGGGTGACAAGCGTGCACACAATCCACCTGATGTTAAGTGGTTGCTGTGGCCTATGACATCTACATTTATCCTGTATGTATTTGTTAATCAATAATATAATACGTTTATCAATAATAATATACTACGAAAGGAACTTCGTTCCAACTGAGTGTTCCACGACACTCACGCATGTTTTTTTAAAATTTTTTACTTTTTTCCTGCTAGATAGAGTGACGACTCATTAGGACTTTTGAGCGAATTGGTGGGTACATGTGGCTGAGAGAGTTTGAAGCTTTGAAGACTGCCTTGGGGGATTTTTATGCTCGACAGTGGATCCATTACCATGAAATCCTATTAACACTTTCACTACCTGGTTTTTGGACACAATAGTAAGACAATAGCTGTACCTATATGTAGTGTACGGGACAGCGAATGGGTTAAAGTTCTCTGATGAACTCCTTGCCCGATGACATCACAAAAGCTCCCAATAAGTTTGCTTTTAAAAAGTTGGTGCGTAATCATCTGTTAAAGACAACGCTTCTTACATGAATCATTCATGTCATATATATTGTTAGATGTATATATTCATGGTTATTTATATGTACTATTAACATATGTATGTTGATATGTATACATGTATGTTTATGTATGTATGTATATATTTGTATATATATATATATATGTATATATATATATATATATAAATAGGACATATTTCTATAGTTTACTAGCTGGCCAGGCAGA